TATAGTCATACTAGGTCTAGTTAAGTGCCATTGCCCGGTATACCCTACACTGATGTTTTTTTAAGGTTCAGTGCCACTGCCCGGTATACCCTACACTGATGTTTTTTAAGGTCAAGTGCCACTGACCGGTATACATTTGTCCGGTATACCCTACACTGATGTTTTTTTTAAGGTCAAGTGCCCCTGCCCTGTATACCTTACACTGATGCTTTTTTAAGGTCAAGTGCCACTGCCCGGTAAACCCTACACTGATGTCTTTTTTAAAGTCAAGTGCCCGATACTCCAAACACTGATGTTTGTTCTAATATATCGTCAGTAAGTATTAAAATATCGAATATATGTAATTATATCCACGAATAAATTAATATGAAATCGGATGTAATAAATATTTCGGACATTCACCAAAGCGACTAATTTAATTGTTAACATTCACCGGTGAAAGTCAACAACCACGGATTTCGGTCATTCACAGTAACATGCACATCATTTACATAATAACCTCATCAGAAAGATTACTTCATACTTTGCCTAAATAGCATCTGGCATTTTAAAAAGTAAAAATAATTGGTTTTGTTGGCGATGACCTCGTAAGGCGATAAAGAATCATGCATAGTACAGGTAAGGAAGATATTAACCTCGAAGGAAAAGTGGATGAATACCCCAAGGAACCGACGCAAAGTATCCTTAGTTGTATACAGATCATGGGTTAGAATTCCCTCTAGCCGTCGAGTTACCCTTGAGAAATTTTTGTGGTTTTATTCTCCATATGCTGGTTAATTCCATCGCAAAAGTTCTCCGTGAAGACTAAGTTGTCCGAATGCTTGCTCTAGGAGTTATTTGTCTTCTGGGTTGGGTTAAAAATTACAAGGCTACGGAGTTGAACATTGATAGTTGTAAAGTCAGAATTGGTTTGGCTGTTCAATGCCGGTTACATAATATAATACTGTTCACAATTTTTTACTTTTCTTTTTAGATAAGAAACAGTTCTGCATGTACGTTATATCTGTTGAAAATGTATTGGTGGTTGTTTGGTATGGAATATTTTGCACCTTTTTAACCCATTTGTGATTAGCGTCCTATTTTTGGGACTTCCTTTTTTCAAATAAGAAAATAGTGGTATCATTCGTCATTTTAGTACTTATTTTGCAAAAACAAGGTAGTTCTATCTACCGCAATATATCAATGATATAAATATCTATATTCAAATCTAAAACCAATGCAAAGTGCAACGCCAAAAGTGTTAGTTGCCCTAGGGCCAATTCTTCAGATGAAGAAGGCAGATGCCAGCAGATCTAAATATATTTTTCCTTCGTTTATCGTGGTGGGAAAATTTTATAACTTACTTTATAAAACAAAATTGGAATTTCTACTTAATAAAATTTTAAGCAACCTTGAAGCTCTTTAATTAAATCCAAGTTGTAAGTACCTTGCATTTGGTGGCGTGACCTTAGAGCTTAAATGAAAAACATCTCTATGTTAATAATATTAGTAAATATTTGTTTATAACAAAGTAGATATTTTTTTCTGTTCCCTTCCAATTTAGCTTTAAAAAAAGCACAGTGTTTATTCTAAAGTGGATGTCTCTTTCTGTGACTGATCACTTAAGCTTTAACACTTTCGTTTACGCGATAGCGTGTGGCGAAATTTTTCCCTACAGTTTGTGTTAGTGAAACAGATCAAGTTGTAGCAAGATGCATATTGTCATCCATCTATTTTTGTAGAAAATATGCCAAAATGATGCAGACCTCTTATGACAATAACATGGTGTTCATTAAAATAAACTTATTGTAAAATTTAAAAACTGAGATGGTCGCTAAATAAGAAAATTTAACTTTGATTTTATTTTTATAGGTTATCGCTCTTCAATTGGGTATACTATGGACTACGTCACAGGTCGTGTTATTCCTACTAAATTTAACTATAGTTCGTTCCCCAGAAGTTGGCACTTGGTTCCGCCTTCATCACGTGGTATCGGATGATACTATTTCGCTATTTTGGGGAGAAGGATGTGAACAAGGCTGCTATTTGACTATCGTATGACAAAAATATTTATTTCGCAATCTTCATGCGCATATTTTGAACATGTGCATTTTATTTCATAAACTTGTTGATATTTCTCACTTTTTATTGAATAGTTTGTTCTTTTTGAGATATTTTGCTGGGAAAAAGTTTTTAAATATAAATTAGCTAGAATAACGAAAGGTATAATAGCTGATGATAAAGCGAGGTGAGTGACTGAAAGAGAATAGACTGTTGGTGTTTGGTCATCACATTCTACATCAGAAAGCCTCCACACGATTTCTTAAGTAGTTTGAGCAGACTATTTAAAAAGTGAACAGTTTGAGCGCATGGAACCAAATTCTATTTTAAAAGTGAATGAGAGGAATTTGTCATATATATTTGAGAATTGAATGTGAGGTGGTAGACAAGTAAATAAGACAAACTAATCATATTCAAAAATTAAACAAATTTTTAGACATATATTTGCTACTACTTTTTTATTTTCACTAGATTTTCTATTAAAGGGCTCTTTCGTAAACTGGTTTGTCTTCATAGTGGTCTGATTGGACTACCTATAAAAAACCGTGTGGAGGCTTTGTGCGCCTTTGAGGTAATCTCGATTTCAAGCGGGGAAATGTTTTTCCTCTTACTCCCCCGCGCTGAAATGAACTCTGCGTCCGAGGAGGTGGAGCCAAGTGCCAACTCCTGGTGAACGAACTATAGTAAAAGGCATTTTCTGCGAACCTGATTTCTAGCAACAAATAAACATGAAACGAAGTGTTTTGTTATAAGTCGCTACTCGCCAGGTTGGAATTGTATTAGTCTAAGTTCCTTTAGAAATAATTTATTTTGCTGCTTTATCTAAGTTTATGAATTTAGTAAACATATTTAAAACTCAGTTTATTAATTAAACTAAAAGGTAAATGTTATTCCTAGTAAAATTTTCGAAGTGGAAGTAGTTGTGTCTTTTTCATATTATACCCAATTATATATTATTACCTCCTGCACTCGGCTGGCAATGAACGTGTTAAAAAAAGCACTGTGTTTATATTTAAGTGGATATTTTTACTGTTTCCTACCACTTAAGCTTAAAAGAGCACCGTGCCATGAATTCAAGTCCTAGTGTTTTAATTTTATTGGGCACCTGGGTCGCGAAGCGACCCCTATCCCATTCAACTAGAATTTTTACACTGTTTTGGTTGACCATTGAGGTAAGCAGGAAGTGGAGTTCCTTTTGTGAATGTTTCAAGCACTTTGCTTGAATAACTAAAAAGGAATCAAAGAATTAAATGAGCAGCTTGCTCTATAGTTGTGTTTGTTTGATTTTGGAGTTGTTCAGAATTGTATCAGCATGAGGAAACGTTATTTTCAGAAAGGTTGATGAAATTATTTGTTTTGATAGTTACGATATGAGGCGTCGGAGGTGAAATGTGCAGCTATTGGTCTGTAGTTTTTATCCTTGATATAATTTTCAAATTTAAAGATTTCATTAAAATTTGCTGTTTTACATTCTTTGGCTTTATCGAAAAAATCTGCGTTTAGCTTGTATATATGCTGTGATAAAGTGCCATGAATTAGAATTCAATTATAAATATTTATATTATTATTATTATCATATAATGGTAGAAAAAATTATCTTGTTTTTGTAAAATAAAGTCTTAATAATGAAACATTTGTGCTACCACTATTTTTTTCTTTGAAAAATTTACTGCCCGTTTAAGAGGCTGTAGTCGTAGTACTTTATTTCGTCGCACTAGAACTGCACAATGGGCTATTTTATTTTATAACCGTCGTTGAACAGCCGACCCAATTTTGGGTTTTCGACTACTGATGTTCATTTCCGTAGCCTCGAAATTTTGAACCAATCCAGAAGTCAAGGAAACTCCTGGATCAGTACTCCCAAAGGTATGATTTGTTATGGGAACTTGGAGGATTTGTGACTCGACAGATTTAACGTGCAACTGTCACCATTTACAACACGGGGAGCCTTCGGACAGCGGGGATCGAACACACGAGCAGTGGGCCCGTGCCCTACCAACTAGGCTCTCCAGGCCTACACGGTCTGGAAATATTGGAGACTGTCTCGAAAACATTCCTGAGGATGATATGAAGACATCTCAAATTCGATCCATTGCAAAAGAGTGGTAGCCCGACGACCTGTGCGTGAAGTCAAGTACTTTAGTAATGCCAACTTGCTCCGGACAGTGGATTAATATTTTTGAGTGTTAGTTTTTTAATGTATGATTTTTGGTTTAGTAAATTCGATTTATAAGGTTGCTGTTCATGACTCAGGGCTGCTTCTGAATAATTCAAAGACTTATGAAATACGTCACTTAGCTACAATTAAGCCATTTTGAATCTTTTTCAAAGTTAGCAAAATTAGCCAGAAATCTGAAAATTTTAGTTGGTACTTCTCTACCGTTTTTAAAAATATTTTGACAAATCTCAGACAAACGTTTCTGACAAAAATCAGTTGGCCTCTCTGGTATTTTACAGTAGAACAGTTTATTGAGGACCGATACTGCGTATCATTAATACCTTAGCAGGCTGATCAAAGTGGGTAACTGACCGCTGCGAATGATGCTTGATGATCTACTGTGGCAGTCGTTTTAATGGACGCTAGACGTAAATGGGTTAATAATGAGATAAATACATATCAACTTTTTGAAAAAAATTACATTTTCTCTAAAAATGATCTCTAAGTACCCATGTGTAAAAAATGATTTATGCGCATAAAGCAACAATGATGAAGATCTA